GGGGCTTATATTCGAGGGGGCTTATACAGGGTGTCTCAAAAAAACCCAAAATCATTGAAATTGACGTATTGTTCGATATTCAATGCCCTAGCACTAAGTTAATCCCACGAGTGCATAAAAGATTGACATAACTGCTATAATGAATGGTAATACTCAGCGTAAACTTGTTATGTCAGGCATAAAGTACTAAACCCACGAATGCATATTACGCATATTACAATTTACGAAGCATTTTTAAATTTCCATGAGCAAACAAACGTTCACTTTACAAAGATATTTTAATTTTTTAAAACAAATTAATCACCCTGTCAAAATCCTTTGTGTTACGGCATTGAAATTCGAACAATACGTTATTTCAATGATTTTGGGTTTTTTTGAGACACCCTGTATATTTGGAATGGGCTTTAATTTACTCAGGGGCTTATATTTGGGGGGTGGGCTTATATTCGGACTGTTTATGGTATTTAAAGTAATATTACAAAATTACCAATTTCCCAAACATATATATGTTAGGTATGCTGTTATACGTAATATATATAAGCTTCAATTTAAGGTAAAATTCAACCACACATTTTAAAATGTTCTTTATAAAACTAAACTGCCTTTAATTTTAATATAACAAGACGCTCTACGGAGCGTTAACTCGCTGGGGCGGCTATACAGGGTGTATAAAAAAAACTGAACCTTTCAAATTCAAATTAGCTATAACGTATTGTAGTAATTTGACAGCTCTAATTGCCTTGAATTAATGGTTGGGTAAGAACACAAGGAATACTGTATTTCTTTTAAATTTTCTAATTTTTATTTCTTTGAGTTTTGTCCCATGAGTACAAAACCTAGTGTTCTTATCCAACCATTAATTTAAAGCAATTAGAGCTGTCAAATTACTACAATACGTTATAGCTAATTTGAATTTGAAAGGGTTCAGTTTTTTATACACACTGTACAGTACAAATACGCACATTACTGTACATGATACATACAGTACACAGCTATTTCAATTAAGATTTAAGGTTTTCCCCGAGCTAAGCGGAAAAGTCAATTAGTTAACCTGCACCGTAGCACGAGAACGGACGAATAGCCTCATTAACTGAACGGAAGAGTCGTACTCATTCGTATGATAGACGTTTTCTATTGGCTGTGAGATAAACTTATTATAATACTCGTAAACTTTCGTTTGTTGTTTATATTATTAAATACAGGGTGTATAAAAAAAAACGCAACCTCGGAATTTCCCAAGAAATAGACATTGTTTTAAAGACAAAAGATTTTAGGCGCCTGGGAATTTAAAATAGCACAACTGTCAAAATTACTGCACACGCGAGTGCATAAAGCAAAATTTATGCATTTATTTAATGCACAACAACAGTAATATGATATATTAGCAATGCGATTTCAATTCCCAGGGGCCTAAAATCTTTTATGCTTAAGAATTGCAAAGTAATTTCTTAGGAAATTCCGAGGTTGCGTTTTTTTTGATACACCCTGTAGATCAACTCATATTGACCGTGATGGCAGCGATGCCAGCGTCAGGAAGTAATACGTATCATCAATACAGCAATAAATCACATACATTGGTCATTGTTGTTAAGTAGTGCTTACAGCTGTAGAAACAGCAGCACATACAGTCTGACCCACGGCACGGAACACAAACTATAAGCTATAAACAAGTTAGGCCCGTTTCATACGCCGTACTTCACTGCATGTGCCAAATACATTAAAAACAATAGGTAATGAGGCATTTCAGCTCATTACCTATTGTCTTTAATGTATTCGGCACATGTGAAGTATGGCGTATGAAACGGGCCTTAGCAAGAGATCCAGCCTAGTCCCAGGCTCTCTCCATTCGCTGCTTTGATATATTTAAATAAGTCTTAAAAGTTTTATGCCTGGGTGTGCTGTGCGGAACGCTTCAGCGAGAGAGCCTAGCAGATTTCAATAAAATGGTCCCTGATTTCAAAAAAGTGGTCCCTGGCTTGGTTACCAAGCATACTGCATTTGTAAATAGAAAATGTTATGGAAATTTCTTTGCGTTTATAATTATAAGTCATTAGTTTTGCTCTAATGCTGTCGGAACAATGAAATAGGCTACGTTTCGCTAGCATACGGTCAGAATGGAATAACGGGCTAAATATGACTCGTGTTTACTAAAATATAAAGCCATATTAAATGCTATCTAGAAGCTTGAAAATTATGCAGAGTCTCCGACTAAAAATGTTTTGACAACACAGTCATGTCAGGCAAATATTTCCAATCTCCTCAGCTACTTAAACCTGTCAAGTAGAAAGCGTAGTTGTGTATACCAGTATATACGGTCTAGTGTTGATCACAACTTGCGAGTATATGAATAACATCAACGATTATACGACCATTGCTCAGACTCAGTACGTAAATAAGGTAAATTTGTATATAATTCTTTTTAATTGAGCACATTTTTAATACAGTTTGAATTTGGTTATGTAGACATCGAACATGATCAACGAACATTGTCGTATTTACAAGGTTATTTGTATATATAAATTTTCCGCCATATTAAAAGTACTGAAATCTGCTAGGCGTTCTGAAGCACCTTTAGCGGTGACGTCACACCTAGGTCCCAATCTTGTACTACACCACGTTTTTTCTCGCGCTTGCTTCAGAATGACTGGGACTAGGCTGCAAGAGATCCACTTTTGTGCATTTAGCATACATCTAAGCGACGCTATGAAAATTGCAGAATAACTCAATGCAAATCAGGCCTAGTACAATCGTCGCGTTTCCTGTGTTCCAACGTTTGAAACATGCCTATAACTTGTATAAGTTTAGCTTTGTAAACTATTCTGTGCCAAATTATTAACTTCCGATTCAAAACACTATTCCATATTCTCTAAAATATTCAAGTAGTAGACTTCGTTTTCCCCCAGCTGCATCGGCAACAACACTATAAGTAGCTAAAAAAGCAAGTAGCTAAAAAAGTATGCATGCATGCATGGAAAATATTTGGTCAATCTTTTCGGGGGTAATGCATGGAAAATTCACAGTTGATAGGTGTTGTTAAAAGGCATGTAGTAAAACACTGACTACCGGAACACCGGAACACCACCTAACCCTAACCCTAACCCCCAACCCTAACCCAAAACCCTAACCCTAACCCTAATCCCAAACAAAATGGTGGTGTTCCGGTGGTGTTCCGGTGGTGTTGCGGTGGTGTTCCGGTGGTGTTCCGGTGGTGTTCCGGTAGTCAGTGTTTTACTACATGCCGTTGTTAAAACCTCTTCGCCTTGGGAAAGAGTTCAATTATTGGAATTCATACATGTCGTTACTTGAGTTTAGAAAATAAATTAACAAGCTAACTAAATTTCGAGTATTCCCAGTATGCAGTATAGGCGTCAGTTTGTATCACACAATAATGACAACATACAGTAGTTGTATAGAACGAAACTTTTAATATGTGGTATATATGGACAACCAAATGGCTGGTCCTAAAGCTCAGTTTTATCAGTTTTAGCAGCTAAATAATGTCTTCAACGCTTTCTTCGTGATATATTTGCCAGTAATTAACGCATCAATGGAAGAGTCAATCAATGAATGACAATGTCATTGCGGGACATTGAGAGATACAACGCTCTAAATACTTTCCATACACCGTTGCAATTGATCAGCTTTTTTCGTGCGACATGCACCATGTTTGTCAAAAAGCAAGAGCTGAAAGAGCTGTATTAGCCTAGAGCTCCTGCATGCATGTTGTCGGGCATGTTCATAAAATTAACGTTCATCTCGCGCGATGTCATTTATAACAATATCCCAAACTGGACCATTTGTTCGTATATATTGTTCATTTATTAATTAATGCGTCTGACTCGTCTAGGAGCCATGCTTCAGTTTTTAGTTCTTAACAATGCTATATGCGTGTATTATTGCAATGGTGTCATCTTTTAGCACAAATAACTATGTACGTCTTGACTTAACTTTATATTTTTAATCCCTTTGGGCTTTTCAATTTGTAAGAAAATGTCATGAGTCATGATCATGCAAATTAATTAACTCTTGTTTATTAATAATTAATTACATATATTCGTTTGCTCTCGTCTTTGCTCGTCCGATGCGTAAGAGATTAATTATGCAATCCAATCAGATTTCAGCTTTTGACTAAAACACATTTGCATACCTGCATATTCGTTAGTTCTCGTGCTAAGGTGCAGGTTAACTAATACGAGTGCAAAAGGCTTAACACAATACTAAAATGCGGTAGGCCCTACATGAAGTAAAGTTATATTTAGTACGCTACATTCTATTTCTTCAAGACCGTCAGCCACCAGTTGGTCCGTATGCTAGGATTAAACTGTGCTTTAAAACGTTCAAAATAAAATATTTGGGAACAGGTGGGAATTTGTCTGAGCATGCGCGAGCAAAATGAGTCACGTAATTGAGTGGAATACACGCAACGCGTGTTTACAAAAAGGCAGAATCGTGTAAATATTGCCAAATGTTTGTACAAAATAAATGACTGCGGTTTTATGTTGAAAATGGACATGATCTAAATTAATCATACAGAATTTTTTAGTGACGTTCTATTTCAGTACCCTCCCATTGTCTCTGGTGGGCTGTCCATGTGCATTCGATCTGAAACAGTTGCTATTTTGCTGTCGAAAAATTTGAAATGTTTACATGAAAATAGAGGCAAGTAATGCATTTTACAACCTCGTAAACTGTATGAGCCCCTATTTTTACGCTTATACCTAAGATATCAAATAAAAATACATGAAACAGAGAACATTTTTAGAAAGTTTTATCGTGAGGCCACGGCCAGTTTTTAAAATATCTTTATTTCTGTTCCGGTCATCACCAAAATTATACTAAAGCCGGGCTTGAATATACAACAAATTTTGAATCTCATCAAGTACAAAAATATTTAACGTGTAACCAAAATATGCTCATGAAATCGAAATTAATAGCTAAATTTTCAAACTAAACCCTTCTCGAGCCGGTTTTCATAAACGAAGTTCACATTTCGGCCTTTGATTCTTGGCAAAAACTTGACCACAACACGTGCGAAGCAACTGGGTCTCAAAGACTCAGCTAAAACATTGTGAGCTCCTATTTTCCTGACGATACGTTTGATACCTACAAACGCCGAAAAGTTTTTTCTTTTCATTTAGCTATATTTGAAATTGAGGCCACGGGCTATTTTTGAGAAAATACAGTTCAAAGTCAAGCTATTTTTACATATTTTCAAAATTTGTCAAATTTCGCGAGCTTGTATTTTGAACTTAGACCGCTGAAGTTACATTAAGAAACATAGGATGGAAAATTTGAGGCATATAAAGTTAATTTCAACTTACATTTCATTCTCATATCACGTCTTTCTTCGTTTATTACGGTTTTAAACAAGCCACAGATCGACGTATACGGTAATAACTCCCATGTTCACGTCGCCATATTAACTTGTTCCGATCACTCGATTACAAAACAAATCATCCCAAAACAAAGTATTCATAGTCGACTTTTAAAAGAATAACCGTTAACTTGTAAATCGTTGAATGGAAAGCAAAAAATCGTCAGCTAAAACAGCTTCTTGCTAACTTTCTGCTTTGTTTTGAATGTAAATGCAATGAGCTTTGTTTCTGCCCGCGATTTTTTGGTCAGCGACGACAAATTTCCCACCTGTTATATTTGGGGGCTTTTGGGCTCAAAATACTATGAAGAGAGAAGTGAGACGAACCACTTGTATACGGCCGAAAAAGAGAAAACCAATGATACCAAAGTTATGAAGGATCAAACGTATTGCATTTTTTTATAATTGAGCGATTTGTCAACAATACAATTTCGCTCGACTTTCCAAGACAAAGGCCATATAAAATCGCCAGAATACTGGTGTTTAGTAATACATTTGATATCCGTGAGTACAATTTCTTACGTTGAATCGAACGGTGGTATTTTTATTCTTATTGCGCCATTAGGCATTTATACAAATACAAGGACAAACTAAGTGCGAGTGATTTGTCAACAAATTATACGTTCTACGAGCGATTTGTCAACAATACAATTTTCGCTAGAACACTGGTGTTTAGTAATACACTTGACATCCGTTAGTACAATTTCTTACGCTGAATCGGTGTTGCTTTCTTCTTAAATATAGCAGCACAGCCAAACGTAACTTGCGATTTGCGAAGGTTGCTGTTTCCATGTCGAAATTCCTTGTAAAATTGTTCAATTTTCCCGAATTTTCCTCAAAATGCAGGGTTATTTATGGATAATTTGGGTAAAATTGGCAGGAGCCTTATGGATAATTGGGGGAAGTTAGACAGCTCATTAATATTGTATTTTGTGGCTATCGACGATTGGAGATCCACCACAAATGTGAGCCGAAACCTATACCTCGTACCCAGGGCCTTTGCGCGGTTCAGAGGCTCTGGTACGGGAAGCAAAGGCCCTGGTAAACACTGGTCACGTGTGTCCAAAAAATATTGTGGTGGAATAGCGAGCGGTAATACTTATCAAAGATCAAGGATCAAACTGGGAGAAAACTGGTC